GATGATGGGCTCGAGTATAGCAGGGATTGTGGGGCTGGCGCGGGATCGGGCAGTGTTTCATTCTGCTGTGCATGGGGTCGCTATGAGTCGGAAACGACTGGACGGCACTTAACAACAACAACAAGAAGGACAGATGTCCAAGGAAGAAGTACATGGGGGTGTGGAGGTGAGAATCAGTTCTGATCACCAGGATCATCACCAGGTTCCCCATCAAGGTCAGGAGGTAAATCACCAGAAAGAGCACGAAGAGCAGAGCCTGAACATGGGGGTCGGCAGACAGCCCGAGGAGGATGAACTCGGAGAAGACAGTGAGATTGTTCATAGTGGGTTATGAATTCTACCCCTAGAAAGAAATCAGTGCTACCACAAGTAATGGGTCAGTAATCTGAGTAATGTCTAGTGATCAGAATAGCATTTTCACATCCCAAAACTTCCCAAGCAATACTACTTTCAGCTTAAAAATAGAAAAGGTAAACTGAAGTTCAGTAATTGCAATTGTGACTTTCAGGTTTTCTGCCATTGGCCCTCTTCAGTAGTTGTCACTAATCCTGCCAGTGAATATACAAACTTCTTTAGAATCTAAATCAGTTTATATGCTTTGGCCATTGACCAAAAACCAAAACAAAACTCACTGCCATCGAGTCGTATCCGACTCATAGCGACCCCTCCTTGGGTTTCCAAGGCAATAACACTATGAAAGTAGATTGCCCAGTCTTCCTTCCGAGGAGTGGCTGATGAAAAGTCGAGAACTGTAGAACTCATTATCGTATGTGAGATGTTCTGAGTCTTGGATTAAGAAGTGAAACCAAAAATCCAAACCAAGCCTGTTTTCATTGGATTGATTCTGATTTATAGAGATTCTAAATGACAGAGTAGAACAGTCTCCATAGAGTTTTCAAGGCTGTAAATCTTTATGAAAGTAGAATGCCATCTCTTTTTCCCACAGAGCAGCTGATGGGTTCAAACCACAAATGTTTCAGGTAGCTGCCAAGGGCTTAACCTCTACACTAGGCCTCTTCATAACAAGTGGAAAAAGGGTTTGAAATACATTGCTGGAGATAGGAAGGGGCTTTCCAAACATCCAAGATCTCCCCCTACACTATACTAGCAAACCTTGAAAGGTATTGTTAAAATGGGTAGGAGTCCCTCAGGGACTCATAACCTGATGATTATTTTCCTCCTTCTACTTTATTATTGTTTTCATTGCATAAAAAAGGTCTAAGCAATGACTTTTAACTGAATCTACATTTTATACTAAGACTCTGGATGATTACAACTAGCTTCCTGCTGTCTTCTCAGAATTTGTCTCCATATCCATTCCCTTTCCTTCTCTTCAGTCCATTCTACCCTTGCTGTTTTATGAAGAGCTCTGGTGGTGTAGTGCCTAAGGCACTTGACTGCTAACCAGAAGGCTGGTAGTTCAAACCCACCAGCCACTCCTCAGAAGGAAGGTTGGGCGATTTACTTCCATAGTGATACCGCCTCAGAAACCCAAGGAGGGGTTACTATGAGTCGGATCCAACTGCATGGCAGTGAGTTTGGTTTTTATTTTATACTGATGACACAAATAGAAATGCCATGCTATAAGAAATTCAATTAAAAAAAAAAGTATTTGGAAAAATGTTAAACTTACCTAGTTTAAAAAAAAAAAAAAGTAAACAGAAATTTGATGCTTCTTAAACACAGACTTTTCTTTTCCCTCACTGGTGATCATAAACACATGATTACTGTATTTAATGTCACCAAATTGTCCATGTGAAAAGTGTTAACTTGGCAAAGGTTGGGTTATATATATTTTACAACAGTTAAAAAATAAATTAATAAAATAAGAGCATGGGTCCAATTTTGTGATTATTTAATTTCCAAATTTTACAATACCATCCTAACAAGATTCAGATGAATGTGACATCTATAAATTGCCAATGACATTGTAATCTATACATTTTGACTCAGTAATCCTGTAGATGCTTGGGTTTATACTAAGAATATAACTCTAAAGAACAGAAACATAAAATGTAGAATGATGTATGGCTGCAGTGTTATATGTCAAAATAAAAAATTAGAAAAACTTAAATAACTCCATATCCTAGAATACATAACTAAACACCAATTAAATAGAATAATATTATGTCAATAAAATGTTAATCATAAGGCTATGTAGCAACATGGAAAAATACTAATATTAGCTATAGAGAGAAAATATTCAATTTCTGTTTGGTATGACTAATATTATTCTTCAAGATTCTTTTTCCTGGGAGAGATTAATTACCAGCTAGTTATGGCCCACACACTGATGCAGGTAAGGGGAGGGAAATACAGAAAGGATTTGTGACCATCATGATAACATTAGGAAGTGGGAGGACACTGAATTGTGCATATAAGAGATAGATAACAAATGCTAATCCCAACCAATGTGTCCACAATACTGCATTACCATTAACACCAAACACCAGGCTACAGACAAATACATAAACACCTGAGAGGATCAGATGGGGGTCAGTGAACAGGAGTATAGTCTAGACCAAGGATAGATTCAGCTGAGACTAATCTTGCACAGACACCGGTGATACAAAATACCTGCAATCCTTACAGAAACAATAGAAGACAGAAACAGAGTAATCCCTCACAGACACCCGGACTTTATGGGAGAGAGATCCAATAGATCTACTGTCTCAGGACCATGGTACTGGGGGACACCAGAATCAGTTGGCACAACAAAATCCATAAGAGCCTTGCTCCGCATCCTACATTGGTGAGTAGTGACTGTGGGCTTAAAAGCTTTCAAGCGACCATCTAAGATGCAGCTAATGGTCCCCTATCATTGGAAGCAAAGAAGAATGCAAAAAAAAAAAAAAAAAAACAAGGGCATTTGGAAGCAGTCAGTCCTAGGACATGATGGCCCTTGAGACCAGAGCTAGATGGTACCCAGCTACCAATCCCAACCACTCAGGAAAGGATCAAATCTGGAGATCCTGGATAGAGTGGGAGGAAAAATGTGGAACAAAATCCAAAGACTCAATAACGACCAGCATTACTGGTCAGATGAAATCTGTTGAGACCCCCAATACTATGGCCCTGGAATACAGCCCAATAGTTAACAAGATGTACATACAGACCCCTCATCCCAGGATGATGCACCCACATACTCTATGGCAATACATCCCTTAGAGCAATAGCCTGCGGGATGCCAAAGGATCAACATTCAAATTGAGGAAATGCAGGACAAACAGGACTGCATAAATATAAAGAGCATAGGTGGAGGGTTACTGGGTAGGAAAGGGAGGAGACTGGGTTAGGGTTGGACATGGTAAATGGGGAGTGAAACTAAATGTATACATAACATTGAATGGAAAACAAACTCTTAAAAAAATATTTTTTTTTAAAAAAAAGATTATTTTTCCTTTGGTGTCCTTGAAATTACCAGCTTTCTTTTTCTTTTAAGTACTTGTGTGAACTCATTGGCTTTAACCGTATCCAGTTAAAAAATCGACTTCCTGTCACTTCTCCTTTTATGAGGCACTCAAACAACATATTTTCTCCTAAGAAAATTAGTTTAACTCTAAAAGCATCCATTTCCTAAATAAGGAGGTTAGAGAGCTCCACCAAAGAGAAGGTTTTCCAGATTTGAGTCCCCTTTCTGGCTATCTGGAGTCACTCTCCCCTGGAAGGTTGAAAAGCTTGGTGGGAGAAAGAAGAGTTAACAGACTAGCACTACTAAGAGGAATTCCTGGGTGAGGAATAATAGAGAAATGGTCTGAGGAGAGAAGTTTTGATAGAAAGAAACTGACTAAAAGAGGGGGAGAAAGAGTGACAAGATGTTCTATTCCCTGCTAGCCCCTAAACACATGAAGATTTTCCAGTAGCATTTGTGAATAATTGTAGACATTGGCATTGGCTTTGCAGATTAAAAAAAAAATTACTTCCTTCCCAATTCCAAGTCCTGATAATCAAAGCAAAGGTATTATTGGGGACCTCTTGACTTCCACCACTTTCTAAGTCTAGCCTCTTTGCAGGTTTATTTCTTATTTGTAGGCCGACATAAAACTATATGATCTCTTGCAATCCCTGAAGTCATAAGATCCTAGAATTCTCTTAGTGAAACTCAGGCAAGAGGGAATGAGGACTCCTTTGATTTTCTGCTGGAGCCTACATTTGAGGTAACAGTCTTGCAGTTCTCCATATGGATGACTTCCTCACAGTTCTTCCACACCAAAAGAGAGCCTACTTTTTGGTCAAGGAGAAGAGGGAAAGAGAGATCCCAGATGGACAGAAGTGCACATAATTAACATCTCATGCAATTCTACTCCCCAAAAACAGCAGCAACAATAAAACTAGGTCAACTTGTTTACCTTAGGCAAGATACTTCCCTTATGTTCAATTTCAATTTCCTTCTCAGTACCATGAAGAGTTTGGGTCAGAATAGGATTCCTTTGAGGTTTTCAAACCAAAGTATATCTTACCTCTTCTCATGCCTATTCTTGAGTTAGACTGTTCTGAATCTGGCTCCCCATCAGGGATCTGAGACAAATTGCTTAGGGCCTCACAGTTGGCAAATGGAGTCAGAGAGTATATCAGCCTTAGGCAAAGTCTATTTTGTCTCCTGACAGTTTATAGGATCAGACTCCGTGTGATAAGTTCTGGATAAAGTATAATGGGGTAGCATTTTTTTTACATTGGACCTCTCCTGGCCTTGTTAGAAAGCATTAGTCCTTGTCATTTTTGCTGTGGTGACCTACCTCAGTTCTAAGAGGAGTTTCTGCCCAGTTTGTAGGAGTCTTATATTTCTCTAATCATATTCTCTTTGGCCACCTCTTTGCCAAAATAGCCCTGGGAGAAGACCAGAAGAAGGAACCCCAGAGACCCTGGGACTGTTTACTGATCATGGGAGAGGCTGCAGTAGTCAGAGCCACTTGGGACCTGGTGCTGACTTGGAAGGGTAGCTGTGATTTTCAGGAAAGGCAAAGGGGATGCAGAATACTTTCTAGGAAGAATACACTGAACAAAGTAGAATCTGACAAATAAGGCTCAGTGTAAGGCTTCTTGACCTCAACTCTACAATTTCATGCATGGAGGTTCATGCAAGCACACACGTGTGTACATACACACTCACTCATATGGAGTCTAATATTCCTTTGCTTCTTGTGGATTTTTCAAATTGTATTATCTTGTATAGGTGTGCTATATTTTTCCATCACACTCCCTTTCACATGGTCTTGTTAGAGAAATTAATTATGAGACAAGAACATTCAGGTTCTTGAATTCTCACCTATAAACTTATCTATTCCTCCCATTCTTTCCTTAGTTTTTTTTTTTTTTTTGCGT